AAGGCGGAATGCTTGTACCAGCAACTTTTGACAGGATAGACTGGCTTTTGCTAACCTGATTTCAATTACCTCTGCTGTGGCTAACACCCGCTTGTGCAAACCTTTGGAGTATTGTGTCGACGTGTGGTATATGACCCGAAAGGCTTCTCTCGCTTCCACTTGAGCTTCAGATCGGTCTATTCTCCCTTCTGCTGAACCATGCCAGTATGTGCTCGCGTATTCTCTTCTACAGACATCGCGTTGTTCGGCCAATATATCCCGCTCCACAGGAACAGGTGAACTTTAATATTGCTCTTTTTGTACAGAGTGGTGATAAGAATATCTTATGAGGCTTTGCAGTTTGTAACTTATTGTATGGAATTATGAGTCCTTCGTGCTTTACTAGGTTACCTGGAGATTTAAAATTGCCTGGGACATCTAAAAAATTTAAATGCGACTAACTTTATTTCATATAAAACTAAAGTAGGTCGCCCAAATTAGATCGCCCTAGCTCCTAGTCCTGTTTGATGCAAGCTCTGATTTTCTTAGTTTTTATAAACCTGTTTAACTTGCCAGGCGCACAATTCTTTGTGAAGGTCTCCGATATTGAAAATCAATAATAATATTCTGCGCAGTATGTTCGAACAGTAATTATAGGCGACTCCGTTATTGATTTTCGAACTCTCTTCACCCGAGTGGGTCTTGACCGATTTTAGTTCAGTTTGGTTTATTTGAGAGTGATAGTCATGATAGAAGGTCGATTTGAGGGCATCTCTGCCAACTAAAGTCCAAAAATTGCCTTGCACACCACCGATGAAAACCTGCTATTTTCGGAACAGGCACTAAAACAGTCACAAGTCATCGTACGGCAAGGACAAAGGAATGAGCCCTCCTTACTATTTCGGTTAAATATCACCAATGTAAGACAACTACATTCATATACCTACTATATACTAGACTAAATTAACTAAAGTCAGCTAAACTCCACAAAACTAAACAAAAATTAAACTACTAAACTAAATAACGAACTAAAAACTAAAGTAAACGAATACCACTGCTGTGAGACAGAATCCTGGGGCTAGGAGTAGCTAACGTGGGCGGTCAACTAACATTTTACCGTATTTCATTCCCTCGAATATTTACTATACCATCGTTGCTGTTAAAATACCACCGGTCGGCAATATGAGAGCATTGAGTAGACGAAGATACCATCTTTGGCAGTAAGGTGGGGTGTTTCTTACAGGTGATGCAATCTCTCAGGGTACCCAGGGTAACGTTAGGTAATGATACAATGTGGTGCAATTCACCACGGGCTAACTGCTGCCTATTGAACGAATGCACTTGCATTATTTAAATCTTCAGTGGCGCCACGTTGGTGTGACGCAGACATTGATTTTCAAACTTTTATCTTTAAAATGCCAATAAATTCTGCAAAAGTGTTTATCTTGCCTCTGGTAGGCAATCTGATGTTCCCTGGGAGTTTTGCCAGAAGAAGGCTTATTGACGTCATCTAAGGCGGACTTTTACGCGAAAACAAGAAATAGAAGATGCTTTTTCCGATTTTAGGACCTTAGTAACATGTCGCAGTCTAGACCCTGCTTCTGGTGTTTCCAGCGAGTTTCGCCGTTAGCAGATTTATTGACGTCACTTAGAGCGGACTTTTACGCGAAAACACGAAAGGAAAGGGTTTTTTTCGACTTTAGGACCTTATTAGCATGTCGCAGTGCTCATGTGAAAAAGTAAAGGTATGAAAAGACTGTCAGTTGAAGTCCTCCTCGACCCGGTCTTTTGGCCAGACTGAACTTGATACTTGCAAGCCCTGAACACTTACAGAAGATTACCCATCCGATGAAATCGAAGGATTTTTACGAGAAAATCCTCCGTTTCGCAAAAACAACCCAAAATGCGTCCCCCAAAGTCTTACGGCAGTATAGTAAACATCGTAATCAAAAAGAAGACATCTTTCGTCTTACCAAGATTTATTATTTTGCCTAGACACGACAGTTATTTTATTAAACCGGAAGATTCTAAAAAAATGAAAAATTGAGATTACTGAGTAAACGTAAGCTTAAAATATACATAAAGTCTGTTAATGCAAAAATAACAAGAGGATAAAGCAGCAAAAGTAGAATTATCTTTGAAAACAATCTTTTTTTGAAATTTTCTGATATAAATGCTTTTATATTACGCCCAATGTAAAGTACTTCTGTTACCAAGTAGCCCAAAGTACTAATTTATAATCAAAAATGAGTTTACGAAAATTCGCAGCGGTCTCAGTATTCCCACAGTCTTTGAGATGCTTTGTAGTAAGGCAACCAGATTTTTCTTGATTGGGACATCACAGGAGTAAGGAATTTCGTAAGCTCCCATGTGGGCATGCCGGTCAGTGACTAATAAATTTAAATTCATTTGTCAAGTGCAATCGTAAGCATGCCTACATTGAGAGAAATTTCCCTCTGTGACATGTCTTTGCAATTATTTCGATAGTTCGATTACGACGAGGTTCAGATCATTCTTATAATGATGGTTGACACTTCAACATTTTCAGGGTTTCCAGCCGATTGTCCCTAAATATAAAATGTATTCTACGTGTTTAATAAAACATTCAAAATAGGATATTTCTCAAAAGAATTTACCTAAATAATGAAATTTTGGACATTTTTCTTACGCAACTGTATATTTGGACTATTGTTTTAGAATTAACCAAACATGTCAACTCATTGTCGAGAAAAATAAGCATACACAAAAAAGTCACAATTTAATGTGCCTAAGCTTATTAAAAAATTGTTGTAACAAGTTGCCTTTTGAGAAGCGTTTTAATGAGATATTTGGACGGCAAATTTCTGCGAAGTTTACCATTTTCGAAGGTTAAGTCAAGATAAAAATGGGAAAGACCGACCGGTATTTTGACTTTCCTGAACATTAGGAATAAAACTTCTGCTGAAAATAAAAGGACTAACTTTCAGGCCCCATTCTCTAGTTGCAAAATCACAACACATTAGCAGAATATATACCATGGTTTTGTGGAAACTGACAACCGTCTGCCCGTTCCAAGTTTTTCTATTCATTGTTTCTGTTCTATAGGCAGAAAATATTTGGAAGTCTTTTGCATGGGACGTGGCAGAGAAAAGGGAAAGCATTTCACGGGGTTCATGCCTATACTTGACTACGGTCCTTATTTTCAGTGTATTGAAACGAACTAACGCTGCACAAGTTTATTCCTCAAGTCTATGTCGCAAAACCTACCAGATTTTCAAAATAGAACATTTGAACAGAATCCCCTCTTTTTACCCGAAAATATTGCATCTTCCCATATTCGAATTAACCTCAGTTTCATGAACGCAGGAAAGAATGTTCCGTTCTCTGAGACGATATATTTAAACTTTACTGACTTATATTAATAATATTTTATATTACAACACGCATAAACAAGAAGTCAATACGACTTTTCTTGACTCTTGTCTTGACATCGGCTACAGGTGTGGAAGTTATCAGAGAGTGAGGTAGATCCGGTGAGTCTATTTGCCTTATAATGCAGTCATGGTCACTGCATCTGCCTTCAGCTTGCTGAAGCTAGTGGTGGACATCATCAAGAGCCACGATCAAATTGTCGCTCTGAATGCAGACTCCACTTAGAAGCTACAATCATTCCCAATTAAGAAACAAACAATCAGAACGCTACTTTTTCACCCAAATTTTCTTTTCTGCCTTTTAAGTAAGCAAACACAGCGCCTACAATAGTCTCAAAAATTCTAAAAAAAGCAGGATCATCGGTTAAAATCACAGTGAACTTGTGAAAGTACGTCCTTGCCATGCACAGCCACTGTTGTTTTTGTTGCAAATCTGGTCGTCGATCATATTTGAGCACTTGGAGTGAGTGAGTGAGCTATGTACATGCGGCAAGGACTGTTCAGTGGGGGGGGGAGGGGGCGAAAAGGTCAGACGCTGGTTATGAGGCAAGAGCTTGATGGGGAGGTTGAGTAGAGACTACACGTTGCGGCAGTCAGGCGCGCCCGGCCAGCGGACATACGTTTAGGAAAGCGATCTGTGTGACGGAGGAGGTGGCAGGGGTGACGAACAAGATGTTGGCCCGGCTTAGTTGATGACTTCGTCGAGCGTGGTTGTGGCGTTGGAGTAGATTTTACCTTTCTGTGGTTGGGAATTCCGGCTCCGCTCGACTAGCAGAGAGCATCTGGTGGCCCAGCGGACGAGTCAATGGAGGAGGACCGCTTGCGTTTGGCTGGGAAATTCTCCCTGACGTCGGCGATGAGACTGGGATGTAGATCAAGATCCAAATCAGGATCCAACACCTCACCGGTTTCACCAAGGCTTGCCCGGCTCAAAAAATCACCCAGGTCCTCGGGGCTGAATTTTGTGGCAGGAGACCTGCTTACTTCCCGGTGCAAAACCTAAAGGTCAAAAGCACACACACAAACATATGTTTACGCCTGAAGCCAAAGAAACGGGAAGAGGTGCGGTAAAAATCGTGTTCTACCCAAGCAGTTGAATGCTGAGACGAAGCCAAAGGTAAGTATGCGGTTTTAGGTAAAAATGGCAAACATTAGCTAATGTGGGGGGAGCAAGGATCTCAATCCCAAAAACCAGTAAGCTGGGTTCCCCTTTAGTCACCTTCCGGGACTCCAAACATGCCAAGTCGCACTAAAGACTCACGACAATGGTCAACAACCAGAGGTATCGATAAAATAATTGGAGTCTGCGGACACTGACTACTTATATTATAAAAGTAGGTGTGTTTAACTTCGGTAAGGTTCGTCTGGTTTAGGGTGCCACCGACTATGCCATAACCATCTTTCTTCTGCATTCCGGCAACTTATAACTCAGAATTAGCGCTACCGCGCTGGTTTCTTCTGCGGGACGGCAGCACCATGCGTCGGCTACACTCTTGGAACACACGTTTCGGTTGGTAGATTTTCCAGTTATTGGCATTTTGGCATTGCTTAACCGGAATTCCAAATTTTGCGTGTGGCTTTCAAGATTTTCTCCTTTTGAGTTATTTTTCTTAACTTGAAATACTAACAGTAATCTTTTTTATCGCATACTCCCTTCCGTCATATAGCTCCACCCATAAAATAGCTATTACCCCCGGTGCTGTGTTACAATCAGACCTGCAGACCCGCTGTGGTGACTCCCGCGCTCTCAAATTTCGAAAGCCGGTTCGCTGAATGTACGCAAGTCCGACTGCTAAACACCTATCCAACCTATTCTCCACTTCTTCGGCACAGCAGATACCATTCCTCCCTGATGAAGGTTCATCGACCGCTAACGAAAGTCGTCTGTCCAGCCCTGACTTGGGCCTTAACAGAGGTCCTGACTGGCGTAAACGATGGCAGTGTAGGCAGATAGGCAAAGACAAGAGACAGAGCGGTCGGTGAATACTCATCAACTAGTGTTAATATACCCCAGCCTAAATCGGCAAGACAACGATCTCGTGGCTCAATGGTTAGGACGATAGACTCCGATCAAACAAGGCCGCGAGTTGGCGAGTTGGGTGAGACACCACTT